AATTCTGGGGAGTGATAATTGGTATTTTTTGCATTTTTTGAAACTATTTTCTAGGATTGATCACTACTATTAGTTAGGCTGGCTCCAGTTTGTCAGACCAGACAAGTTTTGCCAGGATGTCGCGTGGCGATATAAGTATATAAATATAAATGTATCGCGTTTTTTGAAGGTCATTTTACTCTTGCAAAATATAGAAGTTTAGCATTTTAGCATCTTTAATCTCCTCCATTGGGCCACTTTAATCCCTCTTTGCTTTTGCTTTCGACAAACTATGCCCATGATGCGTCTATTAGACTTAATTTTTTAAATGATTTTTGAATATTTACTTAATAATATTTGAAATATCCAATTGAAATTTGAACATCTCTTTAAAAAAATTGTTCAAATTTCTTCCCCAAGGCAAAGAAGTTCGCGAAATTGTCAATTATTTTATATTCATTATTTTATGTGTTCATAACCCTGATATTAAAGAAAAAATGGCAATAATAATAATTAGGGCATTAAGATAATGAATAAAAACTGATTATTTTATCCGAGACGAAGAGAATAAATACAAGGATTATAAGACTATAAGGATTTTTTTTGCACTCTTTTTTTCATCAAATTAGTTTCAACGGCAGAAGTTCAAAATTGGTGCAGATCTTATTAATAAATCTGAAAGGAAAGTTCGCAATACAATTTTAATATTCATTTTCAGATACGAGCAGAATATTTCAGATTTAGCTTCAGACTCTAAGCGATGCGCTGTCTATGGGCCTAATATAGTATAATATAGTAATTTTCGACAATGTAGGAGTTAAGAAGTATAATTTTTTTATATATAAGGCTTTTTAAAATTTTTAATTGGTTTAAAAATCATGTAATAACGATTTCATTCTTTCCCTCAAACGAAAATTATTCTTAGATATCTTCGTTTTTTTTGATTCTTCTCTAACTTCTTTGATCTTTTGAAAATAATGGCATAAAATTTAGTAAAATTTGTTCTTTTGGTCAAGAAACGTTACTTTCATTTCTACTTCATTTCTGTTTTATGCATTCCCATAAACATTGGAGTAGACTGAAAGGAAACGAACTCCAATTCGATCAAACTCGATTTATGTCAAAGTTCGGTAAGAAATTACTTCTTGAGTCATTTTTTGACGTAGACTTTATTTTATACTTTTTTACTCCATTCCCCTTCCCATTTAGAAAGTTATTTTTCAGCGATAGACAAATAAGGATTGGAGTTGAAAATGATACAACTATTGCAGTTTTCTTTCTCGAAAAAAGTAAAAAATCAGAGTTTAAAGAATTAAATTTACAGTTTTTACAGTTTTACAATTTTAAAGAATTAAAAATCAGAAAAAGATGGAAAATAAAAAACCATATTACAAAGTAGGGAAAAACTCTACTCACATATTCTATCCATTGCATGAAATTGCATGAATGGAAAAAATGAAAATGTATTGAAAGTTTTCAGAATAAATGTAATTTTAAAACAAGAATTTCAAAATATTTCAAAACATAATATCGTTTTAAAGTGAGGTTCCTAATTTGAAGATATCTTCTTTTAATATCGAATCTGTTTCGGACTTTTGATAGATAATTCGGCTGAAATTAGACTTAACCAGAATGTGAAAAAACCTATAAAAAAATGCATCTCAAATGCTCAATCTCCGCAAAACCCGAAAATCGATTCCGTTGTTCCTGGATCCATGGAGATCGCTCTAGAGATCCGCGAAAAATTCCCGTAGTTTTAGACTAGCATTAACTGCATTTAGACTAAGCATGCCTACCAGATACTGTGGGAAACTGCAAGGTTATTTTTTATTTATAGATCTCTGAATTTTATATTTCATCAAATTCGTTCTTCCATCAAAATTTTTATATAACAATAAATATTTTGAGACCTTTGTCCTGCAATTTGTGACAGTGATGACCAATTATGGTGTAGAATTAATCTATGATCAATATTATCTTTAAAAAATTTCAACGGTAATTGCATCCTTGGATGAAACAAATTTGCATTTTCTTTCACAATTATTTGTTCAAATTTAGTTCGTCAAATAAATCTGATGAATAAAATGAATCAAACTTTGCACCAACTATCCGTTTCCAAGTCAAATTTGCGTTAAAAAATTCTTACCATGAGTATATGAAGACAGTTTGTTTCTAGTTAGCGCTTCTTCATAAGTAATGGTAAGATATTTCAGTTTTTTCCACAAAATTGACGAAAAAAACGATTTTGCAGAAAAAAACATCAGTGGCTTAATATTATTGACTCTTGTTGATAACAACAGAAAGTAGGTCATGTAGTTGCTTCCCATTTTTTTACATCGATATATAATAAATAGTGCTAGTATACATTTTTTTAAAACATGCTAAAAAGCCTGTAAAAAAAATCTTCGATAAATTGTGTATCATTTGAAAACCTCATGCACTCAAGGATTTAATTATTCATTAAAGTTGAATGTTTAGTTCGCAAGAAGAACTGTTTGATTAATAGTTTAGATATTTAAAAATATTTTTAAAAAAATATTTTTCCACATCACGAAAATCATTCAAATTGATGTTTCCTTTGTCAAGAACTTTCAAGAGAAGAAATTGATTAATTAATTAATTAATTAAAGCAGCTTATAGTTATAATATTATATAATATTATAAATTATCACCTTGTCAATTTTACCTTTAAATCATCTTTTAATTTCCAAAACAATAAAAAATAAGGTTGTTTTAAAAAGAATGGATTTAGCGAATCGTTCAAAAAGTAGATGCAAATGCAATTGCGGTAAATGCAATTGCAAATGCAATTGCAGTAAAAGAATAGTAAGAGGAATCTAGCGTAACCTGATCCACGCAATTTAGAATTATGATTATAGGGATAAAATAGCCTAGTGGGTTGTTGCTCAATTGGAAGCGCCGATGCTGAGGTTCGGTTCCCCGCGGAAGTAAGCTTGAATAAAAATCCAGGTTATCCTAGCGATTCATCTGTATTTCTATCGCCAAGGGATATATTGCATAGTGCAACAAGCCAGTAGAGCGAGTTTACCAGTAATGGTGGAGACTCTTAAAAAAAAAAGTATGATTATAAACCAAAAATTATCCAAATCATTCATTGTTGTGTAATTTTCAATTGAAATTTTTACATGACTCTTACTTTTACGTTTATAATTGATTTTTTAAAATAGAAAGTATTTTTTAATATTATTTATGTTATATTATATTATATATTATTTATATTATTAGATTATAATGTATTGTTAAATCAGTCTATTCTTTATTTATTCTTTAATTTGATAAAAGCTATTCAGCAAAAAATAAGTATGCGGCAAAATATTGGTTAACTTTTCATTTCTTTCCGCTGTCACTAAGGTTAGAAATTTTTTTCAGTCAAATCATACGGTAAAAGCTTCCATCAAGAATTTCAAATTAGTATTTATGTTAGATGTCTAATTCAATTTGACGGCCTTAAATGGAAATTCTGCGAAATTTTTTTTTCTAAATAGGCTCGTTCCGCTGGACCAGAAGTGAATCACTTGGAGACAGAAATACTGGTGATTCGCCAGCTTTTTACAAAAAAATAAATTTATTCCTGCAGAAAGTAAAGCACTCCTGTTTAGAAATGAAAGCAATCCTTTTACTGAGCCATTTCTGCCTCTAAGATAAATTTATTTCAGCATGAATTAAACTTGATATTACCAGAGAAAATTTAGAACAAAATCTGAATTGACATTAAATAATATAAATTTTTCACAGTTTGCATTGGCGAATGCTAATTCCGAAAATAGATTTAAGTTCAAGCAAGATTTTCTTATTTCTCACTATCAAAGATCAGTATTATCAATGTTTCACAATTTTGGTACGAATCAATTTAATCGAAATTTATACCTTTTCAGTAATTTAAGAATTCGAATAGATTAGACTAGCAAAAATCTTTCTGAATATTCCTAGTGGATTTCCTAAAGAAATCCTCATTGATTTCTGATTTCTTCAATTCGTTTGGATTTCAAAAAATTTTTTTATTAGAAAATTAATATGGAATCTAATTACATAAATCAGCAAGATCGGTTAAATTAAGTTTATGGACTGATGAGAACCTTATTTTGCTTATAGTTGCATTATTTCAAGGAATTAGCTTAAATCCACGAAGGCAGGTAAAAAATAAGACAAACAATGATTCAACCGTGGTGTTATTAATTAATTGTTTAATTAACGGTGTCACGAATTCTGATATCGCAAAACTCCCACCAAATTCCAAACAAATAAGTATTCAAATAAATGTTTTTCTGTTATGAGTCATTTTGCATTCCTTAGAGTATTTCCCATCAAATTCCCATTTTTTTTTGTTTCTATCTAAAACTCATATCTTTCCTGTTATACAGGAAATGCCTTTCCAATTCACACGCTAATCTTCTAATCAGATCTTAGTTACAGTGCTTGGAATTTTTTATGTAAACCACTCTCACTATCAATGAAATATGAACCCTGTTGTGTTAAATCAGTGTTGTGTTTTTACGGAATAAAAATTGGTGTATCTCGTTTGGTTTACAACTTGTCCAAATCCCAACCTAATACCACTCAATTCGACTCGACTTAACACAACAGTCAAATCGCTGGTGGTATTCAACTACAACATCACTTCACTATATTACAAATTATTGGTGCCCGAGGTGAGGCAACGATGTCAAGTAGCATTATCGCCAGTATTCAACCGCCAAAAACCAGGTTTTCTTAACGAGATAAACTTCCTCGAATTCGAATCTCTGGACCCAAATTCTTCATTAGAGCAACAGGTAATCCTTAACACAACAAGAAAACAAGTACTCGCAGACAAATCTGATAGAATCCAATTATGTGTTAAGGAGCTTGAAGGAGCCTACGACACATGGCTTAAGTATATTTAAACTATCATTGCGACAAAAAAAAGGAAGAAAAAAAAGAAAAGGTTTACGAATATGTTACAAAGGGTAAACATGGACTATTCCGAATAATACATGAGGGGAAAAAAGCGCCGATAATTAATGAGATATAAGGATGACGCCGAGCAAAAACTGGAGCAGTTATTTAAAAGAAAGAGTAAGGAACAGGAAAAATTAATTCCTCCTTCAAACGTTACTGTCAATCTTTCTCAGTTATCCCTACCTATATTCAGTGGTGACCCTAGACAATGCAGAGGACGAAATCACACAAGTGGTAATGATAAATTTAGCGAAGACTATAACACATAATTACGAAGAAAATAAAATCCAATTTATCGAAGCACACCGCTTTAGTAAATGGATTAAAATGATCCGAGTAACTGTCTTGATTCTTCGATTCATTTAAAGGACTTGTAAAAAGACTATACTCTGGCTAAAATCGTTGTCCTTACCAGGAGGCAATATGTCAAAGGACGATTACAATCTAATAGAGTGGTTATTAATCAGACAGGCACAATCACAGAATCACAGAACCTAACGATTGAAGAAATAGAGAATCGGAATCTCTTACAACATAGAAATGATAACTTGTAGAGATCCAACAATCGACTAGAATATTCAGAACTGGACAACGAAAGCAAATATCCCATTTATTTACCAAATAAGGGCGATTTAACTAAACTCATCATTTTGCATCAATATGATAAGTTGTACCATGCTGGTATTGCGCATATCTTACCTGCAATAAGGTAAGATTTTGGATTCCGAAAGGAAGGGCCGCAATAAAATATACGATATCCTCATGCATGGCTTGCAAGCGATGGAGGGCAAAACCCTTCAACTTACCACCAATGCCAAACCCACCAGGATCACGAGTACGACGATCAAGATCATTCGAGCAGGTAGGTTTAGATTATTTGGGCCCTATCGATTAAATCGTCTACCGGGGTAATCAAAAGATGGATCGCCCTCTTCACATGTTTTACAACTAGGGCAGTTCATCTCGAACTGGTTGAAAATTTCTCGCATATTATGAGAAGATTCGTTGCTCGTAGATGTCCAAGGCTGATACTCAGCGACAATGCCAGCCAATTTTAACTAGTATTCAAAAAAAAATGGACGAAAACGCCAATTTCATAGCCCAAAAAGGTAAGATTTGGATAACACAATTCCACGAGCGCCATGGGGAGGTGACGTTTATGAAAGGCTCATTGGACTGACAAAGGTGGCCTTAAGAAGAGCGATAGGTAAAAGACTCCTTACAGAAAGGGAAATGACAAAACTAACTGCAGAAATTGAAGGAATACTGAATACGCGGCCATTAACTTATGCAGAGTTTGACGATTATAGGGTAATACGTCCCATCGATTTCAAAATGAACAAATTAATGGAATTTCAAAAATGATTTAAAAACAAATAAAAATAATTGGTTTCAATAATAATTTCTTTTCTTTTTTTAAAGAATCCTCACCATTACTGATTAAACTCGCCTCACTGGCTAGTTACAGCATCATTAAATATACCAGTCAAGTATGGAAACGAGGAAGAGCAATATACTCCTTACGTATTGAAAACGAAGGATAAACTGGTCAAACATTTGACAAGCATTCTTAAAACACTAGATGTTCTTTGGAATTTATGGAGAGATTATCTCGCAAGTTTAAGAGAACGTCTACAAAAAGACGTACATTCCCCTAGACTCACAGAGCATAGATTACCACAAGTAAACGAAATAATTTTATTGGTGGAGCCTAATATCTCTCGTGGTATATGGAATCTTGCAAGAATAATCAAACTTAACAAAGGTCTGGATGGTTGGACACGAAGTGCCACCATACAACTGCCAAATGGGAAACAATTCGACCGTTCTTTGCCTACTGGAAATCAAAGCATTAATAACAACGATTTCATCAACACAAAGAACTTTTTAGAGGACGATTCTGAGGAATCAATAGCTAGCTGAACTCGAAGCTCCAAAAGAACCGCGTCACATCGTTTGGTTCACAACTTGTTCCAACCTAACACCACTTAATTTGACTCGACTCAACACAAGAGTCAAATCGCTGGTGGTATTTAACTACGACATCACTTCATTATATTATAAATTCACACAAATGGCTTAAGTTCCATCGCAAAATTTCCCTTAAAAAAATTTTTGAAATTTACAATTATGTCAATAATAATAATACCTATGTTAACAACAAATAGCATATTCCTTTCATAAAAAACAATCAACCACTTTCTTTCCAAAATTTTCGCACAAAACTCTTCATAATAAATAAATTTAACACACAACTTTGATAAAATATACTGCATAAGATTATACAGCCATAAATCGCATCCACAGATCCGAAATTCGGCTTAGAGCGAATAAATTGATTCTTGTTTAACATTCTACCTTAACAGTTGATTATTCCGTTATGATCCTTTATTCGAAGAGAAATTTGATCTGTGCTAGTTGCTATTTTTCACTCAAAAAAGCAAGGCTGAACACATCCATTATTTCTAATCCACATTTTCGAGTTATTCTACATATTCCATTTGGAATAGTACTGCTCAAAAAAAACGAAAAAGGGAAACGAAAAGTGTCAACATTCAAAAATTTTTTTAAAATTTCATCTAATTTCGTCTCACCACAAATAAATAAAGAATTTTATTTTTAGGTGATTTCTTCATTTTCTAAGCCTTCACCATTTCTGATTTAACTGGCTTTGTAGACTAATCGAATGAAAGTCTTTCATCATTGTCTCTTGGCAACGGGAAGTGCATCCAAATACCCAGATTTTTCTTCCATTAGATATTCCCCTTAAGCGATTCATTTATATTTATTATCAACATTCTTCAAATATTGATATTTCTGTAAACAAATATTGCAAATCAAGGAGTTTATCTTTTTTAATAAATCTTCAAATATTTGATTTTTCAATAATTCTATGAATAAATAATGAATTAGGCTCAGTTACATTTTTTTTCTTGCAATTCTAAATTCCAATTTTTTATAACATATTATGTCTAAAGACTTCAGAACATGGCGCATCAGTATAAGTTGGAGATAACTGCCTATGATTTTGATCAATTCTACAAATAATTGCTTTGGTTATAGGTTGATCCGTGAAGAAATTTGACTCATAAAAAATTTACGCCATTAGCTTTCTGAGCTAAAATTAAAAGCAGTAGAAATAACAAGAAAATGAATGATTTAATTTAATTTATAATTTTAATTTTGATTTAATTTTTTCAGTCAAAAGCGAAAATATGAAATAGTATTCTAGTATTGTATTGTTGTAGAATATTGCAGAATAAATCTCATTATCTCATTTCTCTTTAATTTGTGAAGCACAATAACTGTAATTTTAAGCCTTCAAATAAATAGATATAAAATATCAAATAAATAGAGAATAGAAAATGATAAAATTAGTTTTCACTTTTATCAGTTTTTTTATTTTTATTAGCTTAATTTTATATTTTAATTCTAATACATTGTAGTATCGATGTCTTGCACCAGTATACTAAAATTGCACCAACACGAATGGTTAATTTTCAAATATAATTAATATAATAATTCGAAAAGTGATAAATAAAAAGTACGATACGAAATAATTTGGCGGAGGAGTGGTTTTGATTTTATTCTTATTAACATATTTATCAAAAACTGAACGGCTTACGGATGAATATAATTAAAGCCAGAAATTTAAAAACAGATCTATTTGATTCTGAGCCAGGTTTCTTTGTTTGATAAATATTGAAAAAAAAAATACTTTAAATTTATTATTTAATAAATTTACTATGCTAATGCTCATTTGTGATTCTTTTTTATACTTTTCTTACCACTTCCTGGAACTTATCTCTCATACCTTTCTAAAATTTGCTTATTGGTTTCTATACCAATTCTTTTGTCGCAATCCTTCAAATCTCCTTTATACTTAATATTATTTGGTAAATAACTTAAAATTCTACAGACCTTTTCGTAAAAGAATTGGTTAAACTAATGGTATAAGGAACTACTTAAACTGGAAATGTTATTATAAAAGAAAAAAAGAAAGCGATTGTGTGAAGGCGCAGTTTCTTTTTAATGAGGTTTTAATTGCTCGAATACTTTAATATTCTTCAAGTTTATTTATTTTTATTATTTCGCAAGCTGGTAAACTGATTTTAGCTGTGGCAAAATAGGCAACGAATGATAGATTGCTGAAATATCTCAAACGAAAAGTCTTCAATAGGAAGGAACACAAAAAATCCACAGTTAACGAATCCCTACTTTGGGAATCGATAAAAATTCATATTGCGACACTAACCTTAATATAGAGGTGCTTAATTTTAATAAAATTGATCTAAAGAGCTCCGTTGAGGCACGAAGTGTGTCAGATACATGAAAAAAAGAACAGGGAAATGAGGGCTATGTAAGAGAAGAGATTCATTAATAACCTATCTATATGTCCTTTATGTTTCCAACGTTTAATTTTCCTATTTACTTTTTATCAACCTGTTTTTCAACATAAAGACCAAGGCAATAGTTGTTATTGTGGCGTTCTTTTTCTTTATCTTAACATTTCCTGACTACTGAAATGAAACCTTCGAGAGCTCCTAATCCAAATGTATGATTATCACGTATAGCCTGAAAAAAAAATTCTATTAATTCCATAATCGATATCAAAATAGGGCTAGGACTTGATTCCAATTCCTGATGTGAGTAATCTTGCTAAAAGCTCGGATGATGCGGCTTATTTGCTGCTTCATAAATGCCATGATCAATAGCATGCAATAATACGAGAAGAAAAATATAAAGCGAAATTGTCTTGAAGAAATAGAATTTCGTAATTTTGCAGTTCTATCAATAGATCATTATATCACAGATATCAAAACATAATTATCAGTATACTTGAGCCACCGTATTACTGTTTTATAACTGTCGTTTTTCTCCAGTGAAAATCCTGATGATGCTGGCGATCCACTTACACTTCTATCACCAACTCCCTCGCAAAAATTTCTTAGCGTATTAATCAGGACTAGTCTAACCAAAAGTGCTAATCACTTATTTACTTTTTCACTTGCAAGATGAAATCATTCGTAATAGCGTGAGGAAAGAAAAATAAGTATCTATTATCTATTATTATTAAAGGACCACGCTTGCTATTTTTGAGCTATGCAGAACTAAAGAGTAGGAAAGGAATAATCCATATCAGATTTCCATCGAAATATATTTCCTATAAAAATTATCACGGTCATTAAAAATGATAATTGCAAGCAGTCGATATTTTCATTTTATATTTTCATTTTTTTTCATATTTTTTTGAAAAAAATTTTTTAAAATTTCAAGTCCATTTTTTATAAGGAAAATTTTGCAAGAAAATAAGTTTTTTAAAATACTCAGTTTTTATTTTCACTGAAGTTTTAAATTTCGATTGAAAATGAAATTATATCATTAAATAACCTAATTTAAAATTTAATGAAGATTACCATCTATGCTTTCTTTTTGAAGGGTCACTAGCTAAGTGCGTTTCGCTGGCTCCCTAAGTTGAACGAATATTCCAAACAAAATTTTTGAAGGCTAAGTACCAAAATGTCTACATCCAAAAATAATTTATCATATAAATAAGTAGGTAAAAGAATTTATCATAAAAAGGCTATAAATAAATCCTTATGTGGGTTTATATGGGTTTTAGTTATAAAATCAATGCAATGCAGTGCAGTTAACTTGACCATTTGAGATTTTTTGGGTAGAAATTAAATTTTATGAATTTTATAAATGAATTTCTTCATCATAATTAAATACAGTGACCTGGTAATTCTTCAGTCCATCAAATAATTTTTTCAGTTTTTTAAATCTTCAAGAATCACAATCTGCATTATTTTCCTTTGTATGCCATATAAATGAGTTATAACTTTAACAAGACTATAATCTCTTCTTAGTCCAAGAAGAAAATAGTATGGCTCAATGATACATTATCATTCCACTGTTTTTAAAAGGAATAAACCCTTCACTAGAAATTCGGTCTCAGCTTTACTTCTAATCCCGAGTGTTCCATTTCTCTTTTCTGGTCAGTGCAACGAGATTAACTGGAGATGTCCAATATAACTAAGCATCCATGGATATTTCGGATATTTAGCAAAATTTTTTGCCATTGGCCAGTAATTGCAAATTCGTAATTTTGATTCAATGATTTTATTTATTATTATAAATATTTTTAACAAAAGAATGTAACATGTATGAGAGTTACGTGTTTTGATCCCATTATTTCTTCGCCATCTCCCAGCCGTTATCCTGGAGGGTATCCATAGAAATTGCCCTCTTCTCCATTATGCCAGTAATTTTCCATCAATTTTCGATAGATTTACTTCAAGTTTTTGCCAATTTACGTCTTTTTCAATTTTATAAATATTCTTAAATTTCAATTATTAGATTTTTTTTTTCTCTTATCAAATTTAATTTCAAATTACTTTTCTCTGTGTCACTAAAATATTCTCCTTCACTTTCTAAAAATTATGTGGGTAAGAAACAGCAGAAATTTTGCTTACACTATTAGCTTTATTCGTCCACTTAATTCCTATAAATACGCTAGTGTCAGTGTATTTAAAATGCTTAATGATATTTTAAGGAATTCAAAAAACTTGATGGTTATAATCTATATAAACTTTTAATATTATCATTTGTTCAGACCAGTGGTCCTCATTCTACAGCGCCTTAATCTAAAATTTCTTTATTCCTTAATAAAACATTTTAACGATTTATAACAATTACGAGACTTATAAAAATTTATTTCTAAGGGAATAATGTTATTAGACGACGAAAAAGCCCGTATCATTATTTATGTATGCGATAAATTACTCATAACTTGTTAAAAAAGCTCTTGCTAATAATATTTTGCATAAATTTTGGTTCAAGCACCAATGTCTTTACTTTTTTCTTAAGATAAATCTAATATTTAACGTATAGAAATTCGTGCCATTTTATATGATACGTATACCATTTTTAAAATTTTTATTTTTTCATTCAATTAAATAGTGTACATACTCAGATTGGTAACTTCAGTATATTTAAATGAGGATCAATCCCATGAATTTAAGATATTGCGTGGTCTATCGTAGAACTCAAATCCGACACCACGACTATCTCGACTTACTGGCTTAGAACCCATAAGTGTTCGTAACACTTCCTGAAAAGGAAATATATATTAAATTAGGGAATAGCGATCAAATAAAGCTTACAGCTGAAAGACTTTTGATTCTGACTATACGAAGAAAAAGAAAAAAAAACTCTAGTCAAATTCCATAAAAGCTTTTCATTTTCAGTAAGATGCGCCATTCAAATTCTATAAAGTAGCATTAATAATATTTATTCAAATTAATAATATTACCTGAATTCGAGTCATTGATTGGGATGGAGCGGCTAAGTCGAGACAAAACTGATGGAAAACAATGAAAGTTATCAAAATTGTTTTTGCAAAAATTTGGTTAAGCATTTTGCCTATAAGAATTCAGCTTATTTTTTTTCAGTTTATGTTTCGAAAAATCAATTTAAAATGTCGAATTTGCCTTTGGTGACAAATTATATTCGAGCCCTTCAAATAGCGAAAATTTCACCTTTTCCGTTTGTATAATAAACAATCCAACAAGCGACCTGCTATTTTTTATGGCAATTAAATATTAATTGACATTTGAATGGCCAACGAAAATCGAAAACTCTAATCGCATAAATTGGAAAATTATGCAAAAAGTTAAATGAGTAGCAAAAATCATTTAAATTACTTTTAAATTACTTTTTCTCCAGGAAATATTTATAGGATACTCTTTATCCAACGCAAAATCTATTATAATTATGCAAAAATCTGCGAAACATAACCTTACATTCCATAAAAAAACAGAAACTAGTCAGCACAACTTTAGATTATACGTGTATATCATTTTCCACGCAAAAACAGATTCACACCTACTCGTATCGTGTGGAAACAGCGCTAAAATTCAACACTGAGTCTCGTGTTTTCTGAAGACTTACAATTTTATTATCATGAAACCTTTGATAATTTAAGATTTCCCTTATATCAATCAAAAACATTGAGGAATATTTAATCTATTAATTTTATCCTTCTTATATCACATTATATTTGAATGAAATCGTCTTTATTTGTATAACATTCAATCAATTTTTTTTTCTGCTCGTTGGAGCAAATAAGGCAATAACTGATGTTATATATAAAAAAAAAGAGAGTAAATGCTTGAAAAAACTGATGTTAGGAACTTTTAAGATATTTATTCATATTCAAGTTAACCCAAATTCTTATAATTTCGAAGTATTTATCCATATTTATATGTGTACTCCTTAAATTTATATTCATACTATGATTAAATATATGACCAGTTTTTGTGGCTAAAAATATTTTAAATGTCATACCGTATGTTTTTTGCGAACAAATCTATCATAAAAAATAAGCTTTGCATTACCTATACTTGTGAAATGAATTCTCTCCAATTCTCTCCAAAGTGTTTTCGTCATTAGGATCAGTCGAACTAGAAATAGTGAGTAAGAAATAGTTCGAATATTGTTAGACAAAATAAGTAAGTGGTTAGCATACATTTCTGGCTAGAGCAATTTCCACTGCAAATACGATTAGAAATTTTTCGTAGGGAATCATCTGATTAGAAATACAGATAGACCATCAGCCAGCCAGCGCTCGGATTCCTTAATGATAGGTTGGTTCCTACCAGAGGCAGAAAAAACCAATGACCTTCGTCACAAATGAAAATATTCGACTATCCCTTCATTGCTGTATTGATAGTGATAATAATCTCAGAAGTAAATAGGTGTACTAAACTGAAGTACCAAAGAAAGAGTCGGGCAACAATTTTCCATCTTAATTTCATTTACTTTAGTAACTTTAGCAACAAATTTTTTACATTTTTTGAAGCTTTCTTTTATAAATATTGGTTATCAGCCTGTAAGAAAGAAATTTTTATCAATATAACACTGCGATATCCTGCAAATCTCTTTAAATTTTTTCTTTTTTAAATAATTAAATAATAAATAAATAAAAATGATTAAATCGTGATTTAATAACTATCTGTTAAAAATTAAAAACATTAAAAATACGGCAATGACTTGGTGAGAAAATAAAACATGTTATCTGCCACTCTTTTTGATATTTTAATTCTATTTATTCAAATAACGAATTAAGAGAACTGATTTAACCAATATTTGTTGCCAATAATAAGCAGCAAAAAATAGGAAATATATTAAAAATTGTCAACACATTAATAAACTGATGTCATGAAAGTAACTTACACGCATATATATTAATATTGTGAAAAACCCTTATTGATATCATATTTACTTTCTCATTTTCATTGACATCGTCTTCATTATTCGCAAAAAATTTTTCAATTCATGCCTCACATTCAAGAAAGTTTTTTGTCAAAATATTAGAAACAACTTTTGATGTATATATATGGAAAGAAAGCAGGACGACTCAACAGTTTATCATCTTGGAAGACGAAGGTTCGCCCATCTCTGATATCATTATAAGACTATCATTAAAAAATTTTGCTGGCGTTGGATGTCAATTACACCTCTAATCAAATGCAAAAATTTTCGTAATAGAAATACGAAGCTGATCTAACTGGAAATGGCAAACGTTAGCCACTTTCTAAGCGATATCTGGAAGGTGAGGAAAAAATGCCGGAATCTCAGTGAAAGATAGCTTAAATTTGTGGATTAAGTATTGTCTGCAATTGAGCTAAACGAGACTTCCAACGAGATGGCTTTGATTTGGGACTGAATTTTTAATTAATTAATTGCATAATAAAAACAACAAATAAATAATAGAAAATCATAATATTAAAGATGTATACTATAAATTGTAGTATTACAGCAATCTCAGTGAAAGAATAAAAAATTATCTTAAAACAACAAATCAAAAAATAACTTCTAAGCCACAAGAGAATGCTTCTTATTTGTAGCTGTAATCTTCTTCTTATTGCATTCTCCAGTTTCATTTGAGATCTGTTATAATGAAATTTTGAGGGGTAAATAGCAAATAGATCAAGTGAAAATTAACGAGAACCTCAGTGTTTCAAAAAAAAGCTTTTAACAAGTTGCAGATATCGAAAATCTTTTTAAAAAAAGAGAAACACCGAAATAGCTAAATTATTGGGAATAAAGTCACAGGAAAAACAACTTTAAGATAATTCGAGAACCAAGTTGATATTTTGCGAATTTATTTTAATTGACATTACTTCACTTTTCAAAATTTCGCTCAACCAAATAAACTTGAAATAAAAATTCTAAGTATTACCGTTGTTATAACTATAACGATCTGATAGAAGAAGCTCAGAAACGCTTTATCCTAATAGTTAGAAGAGGCGACCAAACTAAACATTGTGTATACTATAATTAGATGAAGATAGATAAGTTATATATACTATTTTAGCAACTCGTTGACGTTAATTTTATTACTATTATTCTAACTTCACCAAAGTTTTTTTTGTTGCTTCAACAAATTAGCTCTATAAATGAAAATAAAATGAAATGTAAATAAACATTTAAATGCCGAAAGGTAGCCAGATGCTGTGCTGATCATTTCAGGCATCATAATTCGATTCCAACTCTTGGCAGAATAACCTTTCATTAAAATAACGTGGTGCCTTGGATTCATCGCTACTTCTATCATCGAGTGGTTGACTCCGGTAAAACTACGTTGTGGTACAAAAAACCAGTAGAATGACCACTAACTTACTTACAGTCAAAAGGCAAATGACAAATATATTCTTTCAATTTTTTTCTGTGCATTGTCCTATTTATCTAAATTTCAGCTGAAAAATTGCAAAAAAATCACTTAATTTAATAAAAATCACTTAAATCTTCCTAAATATGTCTTTTTTGTTTTTTTGAATTTTTTTTCATAGATTTCGCAGTTTTTCTTAGACTTAGATGAAGTTTTCTTTTTCAACTCAATTGAACAGAAAAATAGCATTTATTGGTGGAAAGAAATGAACAAAAAATTAAATTAGAAAAATTATGAACATTTGCAATTTTAGAATGTGAATAATAAAAATTAGATTTAAAAAAACATTAATTTTAATAAAAATATAATTTTTTGGCGAATAAAAACAATTTTTTTTTCAATAAAGCTAAAGCACATTTGGAAAGAAGGGATTTCTACATATATTGCCGGAACTTACGCCCCGCGGGATTCTATTTTGCCTTATGCCTTATTGATTTTATTCATTCACACGGAAATTCATCCATTAGAATGATCTTCCTTCAATAATGGATGGATGATGAATGTTTAATTTTAATAGACGACCAGCAAATTAATATATTCGGACATACATTTACAATCAATAGGGTATTATATAATTTTTTAGCAAGGAGCACATGAAAATAAATTAATGCAAGTTCAAGCATCAGTAGCCGTGTTATTACTTCGTATGTTATATTCGTCCTCTAAGTCTAGCAGGAACATTTGAAATATTAAAAGACTAAAATCCTGATGGTGGGAACACATCTGTTCGGGAGTGTTAGTAAAATTATCTCGTCTCATCTTACTAATAATCGCTGTAGCTAGACTAACAAGAAATTCCTCGGCGCTTGACGAAGGTGAACCATGCCATTAAAAGTGAAAACCGGGTAATGTTGGTGGACACACCTCTACGTTTGTCCCAAAATGACTCTCTACCAGATAAGATAAATCGTAAAAGAAAAAACAACCGTGCATCTATAGAAAAAATAATGATGAACGAACAGGATTTATTTATAAGTGAATAAAGATAGTTACAAATTCTATTCTACTTCTAACTAATCATTTAATGAAAAAGCTAAAAAAGCAAGAAAATTAAAGTAAAATTTTTCATGATAAAAGGACATTTTCTTTTTTTTCTAAAAATGATTTTTATTTTTATTTGCATATGAATTTCAAATCTCTTATCTTTTCAATTTTAAATCTCTTTGAAATTTGAATTTGTATATTTGAATTTATCGTATGAATAAAAAATTAAATATACAATTTCTCGCTAAGCTCTGTGATGGCTAATTAAAACCTGGACTATTCAGAAGAGATATAGATTTATATATAGGTTAGGTTTGGAACAGAGTTGCATGGTAAAAAAAAGACTGATAAGAAGATTTCCACACTCTATTGGGAAGCCTTACCAGTAATGTTGCGAGATGTTAGAAAAGGATATTTAATATCCAGTGGAGGTAGAATAAGGAGAATAAGGTTGGATAATCGAGTGGTTTTCGCTCAGATTATCAGATTGCAAGTTCGGACTCGATTTTCAACAAAAGTGATCTATCAGTAAGAAATTCAATTCAGATTAATTCACCAATATATAAGTTGTAAAAAAATTTATGCCAAAATATTGAGTAAAATATTATTGCCTCCAAATGCTCAAATTAAAAAAAAGAATATTTCAATAATTTAAAAATTCAAATTCCTCCTTAAATAATAAAAGTTTTTAACTTCATATA